TACTCACCATGTTCACCTGATGTGAAAGCAATGGTCACATTGGACCCGCTTGCAGCCGACACGCAGCCATGAGCTGAGCTAAGTAGGTTCTCTGTGAATTAGACCGTACTTTTAGGTACTAACTTTCGCGTGCAAGCGCTGTTCTTTCAAGACTACAAAATGGCTGTAACGCATGTTCTGCATTTGGAACAGAAGACATCAGCAGGTTGCATTCGTTCTCTAAATTTTCGGAAAATTTTGGGTGTCTAAATTTTTAGAAAATTTAGAGAAGCGATGACTCAAAATTTTCCGCAAATTTCGAGATGGAGGCGTCGAGCCACCCAGATCTCCAAATTTTGCAAGAATTTAGAAGACTGGGCCTAGCCCGAGACCGCCGAAGAGGCCCCGCCCTCTTAAAGCTGCAGCCCGAGCTTCTAAATTTGCCGGAAATTTTGGGTCCCGGGTAGGCCTAATCGGCTTGCTCGCCGGGGTCCAGAAATTTCCCGAAAATTTTGAGGGCTAGTTGCCCCGACGCGTGACGCACCGCATAGGCTGGTTTGAGCGTAGCGTTTTATAGAGTAGATAAAAAGTCTTGATCTTTATCATTTGTCTATTGAAATTGGGGTTTGTAATCATGGAAAAACTAGAAGTAGTTTTCTCAAGAGGTCGTTTAGATTGTTTCAATTTCTCTCGTCTCGCGAAAATGGAGTATATTGGGAGCAATGGTTCTCCAATAAGGCCCCTCGGCGATCTTGAAATCTGCCCAATTGGGTCCTTCTCGATTTTCCTCTGGAGTTGCTGCTGACAGGCGGGTTATTATTGTTGTCTGCCTCAGTAGTTTGCGCCCACCGGCTTGCGTGGCCTGCTTTGCCGGGTGGAAGACCAGGGTGTCTGACTGGAAGTGGGCCTCAGGAGCTGGCAGATTAGCTTGGAGCAGCAAGCTGCTGCTGCGAACACATGTACAGGCCATGCCGTTTTCTCGGCACGGAATGGTGCAACCTTGCTGTCTGAGAATGTCCGCCGCACATTGGTGGCCTCAGCATAGACATCTTGCAGTAACTGACATGATTTCATAACTTGTAAAATTTTGCAGCCTCGCCACCTCTATGCACCCAAGTGGACCATGGCGATCTTGCACATTCCTGGGCGCAGCACCACTCGGCAACCAGCAACAACGAGAAATCGCTTCAACCAAGGATGCCGACCAGGGTCTTCCTTGCTGGTGTTCATCAAGAAGGCGGCCAAGAAACCCCCGACGAAAGCATCACCGGCTCCATTGGTGTCCACGACGTCTTCCGGTGGAATCCTGGGACACAAGTTGCTGCAAGACTTCACGAACCGCCGAAAAATAATACTGTAGGGTCCCAGTTCGCTTAGCATTGCAATCAACAGTTTATGATGCATATCCTCCGAGGCGATAGGAGCAACATGCCTCGCTCAGAAATTGTTACTTGCACGACCCGAGCTCCTCGCTACCCCGGCTGCGATTCCAAAATGAACAGCCGAAGGGTTCGCATAGTGTTTACCATCTGCAAGTAGCTTTTGCAGACGCAGCCGTGATCATGAATGATGTTCAGCCAGACGCCCGTGGCTTCATATTCTCTTTTTCAACCAGCTGTACCAGAATGACGGTGGGTTTTTCTCAGACTCCAACAGAGAATGGTGGTTGCCATACGGCCAAGTCTTGAATCCCAACACATGCTGCTTGGAGCATCATCATGCCCAGCATTTTGGGTAACTTGCAAGTTGAGTTCGTCAGCGTGCGACCATGGTCATTTCAGGGCGCTGGCCCGTGGGCCGCATACGTACATAAACACATGCAGACGTACATATATACATACATACATACATACATACATACATACATGCATTGCATGCATACATACATATGTACATGCATGTACACACATTCGCATGTAAAGACATGCATACCTGTACCAAACACATGCACGCCTGCCCACGGGCCCGTGGCGGGCCCGTGGCGGGCGGGCTCGCGGGCTGTGACGCGGGCCCGTGTGCCCCCGATGAGGGCCCGTTCGTCATGGTTTGCCCAGCATGCTGGGGTAAGTAAAGTCTGAGCCTAGTCTACGATGGCAATTCGGTTGCACAAGCCTTCAGGCAGGTTATGACAACCCTTCAAAGCCTCAGACACGAGTGCAATGGCGTTTTTGAGCGACTTGTTTTCTGTGATGCGTTTGTAGCACATATACACCTGAACCGTATTGCATGCCCTGGCTCGGCGGAACCGGGAATACTTGAACTCCGGCATCGGTCTGTGCAACTATGGTTGGGCTTGCACCAGCAGTTACCACGGCCATGCCTCCAGGTCGCAGCATGGAGGCCAGTTCTGCTGCCATATCTGTGTCTGAGCCACTCCAGCTCAAATGCCGTCCCCAGGCACGGAGCTCGAACTGGTTTCCAAAAACAAAAGTAGCTCTGGGCAACAACCTCTGCAGCACAGAGTGAACTTTAGAAATCAATCCAGCAGATGAGAGGTTCACAGCCAGGCAGGCTCCAGACTTCAACCCATTTTCTATAAGCAGTTCCACAGCTGCTATACGCGGTTGCGTGGTCAGAACGAAGGAAGTGATATAGACCACACTCGCCTCGCGAATCAGAGAGCTAACATCAGGTTGCTCAATCCAAGCAGGGTCCAAAAGTCCGGAAGCACCTCGAATGACGGAAAGGGTGCGATCCCTCGTGCCAGCATCAACCAGACAGCCACAAATGCCTGTGTGGCTCTGACTGATGCGCTTCAGCAACGGGACAACGCCAGCCTCGTGCAGAGCCTCCTCCAGGAGTTTGCCGTGTTCGTCCATGCCGACAGCACCAATGAAAGCAGCCCGGATGTGGTCACCACCACTCCAAGATGCGACCCGCACAGTGTTCATCGCCGATCCGCCAGCCACGACCGTGGCATCTTGGCTCTGGGCAAAGTCGACAAGCTCCTGCTTTCGAGCCTCCGACAGTCCGGCGGCTTCGGTTCCTGGTGAGAGCCCAAGTTTCTCGAGCTCATTCGCTTCCACGGTGCACATCACATCCACCGTTGCATTGCCGCAGGCAATTAAGAGAGGACAGGGTGGTCCAAAGAGGCGACTCCAAAGAACCTGACTTTCCGCAAAGTCTTCCAGGGACTTGAGGCGGAGATCCGCGGTAGCGAAGACAGCTTCCGCCTGAGCGTCGCCCTCCATCCAAGCTTCCGGAACAGCCACCGTGAAGCACCCGGCTGCTTTCGCTGCTTGCACGCCAGCCGGAGCGTCCTCGAACACGAGACAGCTGCTGGGCGCCGCGCCCAAGATCTCCGCGCACGCTTGGTAGACCTGCACGCCACGACACCAAAAAGAGACGGCCTCTTCTGAGCGCCTGGCCTGGCATGGCCTGGCCTGAGGGTCTGGCTTGCTGGGCAACTTGGCACCGGTGCGTGGGTCAACTGACCCAACCAGACGCGCCTCGCGGGCAGCTTTCTGCCAAAAGAAGGCGCAGGGCGAAAGAGGGTGAGAGCGAGAGAAAAGGAGAGATAGAGAGATAAGACCCGGCAAAGGAGAGAGCCGACAATGCCGCCTCTTTCAGCGGCTCAAGCAGAGTTTGGAGGTCCGATCTCTCCTGCAGCAAGGACTCCACTCCATCGCCTGACAGGCCGAGTGCCGAGGGGCCGTTTGAACAGCGCATTTCGCGATGCAGATCGCGCTTTGCATCGCGTACCGTATCCACATCACGAGAGTCTACCTGTGCGTTCTTGCTATGCCACTGTACAGTGATTCTTCTGTGCGGCACACCTCGGCGACTGGTGCAGAGACCAAGCGAGATCCGCATGGATTGCAAGCGTCGCACGAGAGCAGCAGCACCAGGCTTGATTTCCATACCTTACGAGTAGGCATGTTGCAGCCTGCGGTTGATCCATATGGCGCGAAAGAACTCGAATCCCAGATTTCAAACAAACGCTAAGTCACGCTTTGCCAGGAACTTGTTGTACCTCGGTCTGGCCAGGCATGCGACGTACTCGGCCCCTGCTGGCTATGGTGCAAAACCGCAGAACTTGATAAGAAAAAAACAATAAAACCAGGGTGCGCCGCAGACGTTATCCTCTGAGGCAAGACTGCTACGAGTTCATCTCGCCTTCCTGGAGGTACCTCGGACACTGCAATGAGTCTCTCGAACTGTTCTTTGGAGAGTCGGAGCTGGGTGTTGCCTGCAGGAGATCGAGGCATTTCTGCGGGAAGAAGCCCACGGTGCCTGCTCTGGCGGGACGCTCACACCATGCTGTCCCCTTGCTCAACCATCTGCCTGCGATCTGTCTGTGAAGTTCAGGAGTCCAGCTTAAGCCATGAGGTTGGAAAAGCTCCGCGATCCATGCACAGGTCGCCTCGCTTGCGCAAAGGAGCTGCAACTAGTGATCTGGACATCCCCAAGGTAAGGAATTCCAAAGCTCGGGCAGCAACCATTTCCGTGTCCACCAGAGTCCCGTCCAGATCAAACACTGCAGCTTGGAAAGCTGGCGCGGCGGCTGTCCTTGTGCTGCAGGGCGCTGCAAACTGCTTGTGCTTCCAATGACGGCGAGGTGACATCTGTTGATGGCGGGTGGCGATGCCGCATCATTGAAACTGGCCATGGCCTTTCTGCCTACCTCTGTGCCTCTCGGCGGTCGTGGGGTTGCGAACCTTCCACCTTGCACAACATCACCATCTAAGTTCGTTCGATGTTGATCCTTTACGTGTTGTTCTTGAAGGATGTTCCGGACTTCCACGACGAGCTTGAGCTCAAATCCTCCGTCAACGAGCACCGGACTTCGGCAAAGGCACGGCCAGGAACCGAGATGGCCGAGGACCGATACGGCCGGGACATGCGCTGAGGGCGCGGCGCACACTCTCTAGGAAGCGTGCCTCGCGCTGGAGTTCCTCGGCAAAGGCAGGGCAAAGGCGCCGAGGAAAGCGAAAGTCCGGTGCCCGGATTGAAAGTTTGGTTGGGATTTCGCAAGGCTTTTTGCTCACAGCTCCCCTTGCTCAGATGTTGGATCGACGTTCACTCCTCTGATGCTCTGCAAGGTCTCGATGAGGTGAGAGATAGCGATGAGACACATCGCCGTGTCATCCACACGCAGGCTCTGCCTCGATTCCAGATTCATTTGTTCCCCGTCCCGGGAAAAAGCTCCCAACAGCTCCGGTGGCGCAGAGCGAAAGGGACCGGGGTTCGAGTCTGAGAGTTGGTAACGAAGGATATCCTTCTCCATGAGCTGCAACACGACCTGAATCAACTCGGCATCCTTCAGTATCCCGGCCAGCGAGGCCAAACCCTGTAGCGGGCCGCAGGTGTAGCGGTTGCCGCCGATCCGTGCCAGGATGCCCTCCGAGACTCCCTCAGGCCCGGCTTTGATCCCACTTGATCTCCCCAGAAAGCGATCGACGTGCTCCTGTGCCCAACGCTTCAAGAGCTTTCGTTGTTGCTTTCGGAGACCCTTGGAAGACCATCTTACTGCCAGTGCACGAGCAGAGGAGAAAGACCAAAAGTCCCCATGTGCTTCCCAAGCTTGTCGCAGGAAAACCTCGAAATCACGGATGTACTCTTCCAGCTGATCTCGGAAACTGGAATGCTTCGGAATGTGCAAGGCTGTAACAGCGAGCGATTCCCACGTGATAGCTGCACGATGAAAGGTCGTGAACGACTTGTTCCAAATGCTCTCAGCGTAGATCATGTTGAGACCTTGGAACCATGCCTCTGCGTCATTCAGGTGTTTCTTGTTGCCAACTGCTTCGCCGCAACGTACAAGCGCCATTAGTGCGCTGGCCTGCGCTGCCGGGCTAGCATCGACATCGGCCGAGTTCGATGGCTGCTTTTGGACTAGCAGGATTGACGCCCCAGATACCTTCTGCACGCTCATGCCAAGCAGAGCCAGCATCTGCTCCTTGAGGAGCACCTCCAGATGTCTTTCTGCAGTCTTCCTGACCTGCTCATTATACCTCAAGCCCTGCAAGTCACAAAGAGCAGTTAGTGCCTGCAGCTGACGTAAGATGCAGTTCTCAACGGAATCTCGCGAAGTCACGACGTCTAGGCAGCCATGAAGCCACTCGACATGCCCGTCCCGAAACTCGACCTCGTAGCCAGCGAACAGGTGGCCCGGCTTCGAGTCCAAGCGCATGGCCAGGTGTTCCGCAGCCGACGTCGCCGAGCCATTTAGCACCTCTTGGATTCGCTCCTTGAAGGATGCCTCCAGAACTGCTTTTGGAGCTCGACCTCTTGCCAGCACAAAGCTGGACACAAGCACAAACAGTACGAAGCCCTGCATCTCATGCTATCATCCCATCGCGGCTTAGAGAAGTTCACTTAGCAAGTCTTGGCCGCACACTACCATACAAGGGGGGGTCCATGGGGGTCTTAGTTTTGCTGCCGGGCTGGGACATCAGCATTACTAGCTTAGCAGGGTAGAGCATCGCCTTCTCAATCCCCAGTGCGACGACAGCATCTGCGGGTGTGCTGACTCTGCCACTCATGTTCTGGCCATGCAATACAAGGGTTTTGCCATGCAACGAACACAGTCTCATTACATCTCAAGCCTGCCGCTGGAGATCGCTGGAGCTCGAGGTATCCAGATCAGAGACTTGGAGCTCGCACCTGTGGAGATCCTCAGAGGACTTTGCTTCAAGGCGCCAAGCTACACTGCCTCGGCAGCCGACGTGAGTCGCGCTCGTCACCTGCGCCTTCTCATCGACGCCTGCACTGTCTTCTGGAGCGGCGAACACAGAAACGGTGAGGCCTTCCGCTTCAGGCATGATCGAAAACTACCAGCGTTCTTCAGATGGATGGTCCAAATGTATGTGCTTAATTTCAATTGCTGCAGGTCTGTTCTGCTTTTTCCACTACCTCAGCCAATGAATGCTACTGGCAGTCGCTCTCTAGCCCTGCTTCAAAGGAACTGTTCCGAAGGTGTGATGCTGCTCAGGTTCAAGGGTGGGATGCTCAAGGGCTAAGGCTGCCTTGTGCTCACATCCTTCAACATCGGATTCCCGAAGTCAGTCGGAAGGCCAAGGTATGTCCCGTATTAATCGCCCGGCAACACAATAGTTCGGCAGGTAGCCTGGAACTGAAGGAATTTGGGCATGTGCTCGGCGGTGAGAGCAGAGGACACCTGGCTATTGTTCAATATATTCGGCTTAGCCAACTGCCAACATTCGCGCCCACTTCAGCGGAACTTCTGACAAGTCTGTTCATGAGCACATACACGCCGGCATACTTACATATACAGATAGGTGTGTTTATGTATGTGTGTATATATATATGTGTATATGTATATATATATATATATGTGTGTACATGGATATGCACATCTGTACATCTGACAAACATCGACACATATATCAAAACCTTTTAGAAAATCCGATGAAATATACCATACAATACCCTATAGAATACCTCATAGGATACCCGATAGAGTACATTATATAACACCTACTCGTAGAGACTGCCTCGTAGAATACCCCTCATATCTGATACCCCCGTGTACCTTATACATACCCTATATAATACCCTATAGACGACTATATAGATAAGGAATTCTGTGGTGAAAACCAGGAGTAGCCCAAGATCCTAGAAGTCCACACTTAAACTGTGGCTTATTGAGCAACGGACTTCCATGAAGGAAATCAGGAAATCTAGGACAACAGCCTATAGAATACCTTACAGAATACCCCTCTACAAACCTGGAAGAACTTAATATAGACTACCCTAGGTAGTACCTTATAGAATACCCCCTATATACCAAGCTATAGCCTATATAGCCTATAGTACACCTTATAGAAAACCTTGTCTAGGATACCACCTATATATAATTTCTCGAATGCCCTATAGAACACCTTACAGATAAAGCATTTTGTATAGGGAAAATCAGGAGCCCAAGATCTGAGAATTCCCAGTTGAATTGTAGTTTATTGGGTAAGGGATTCATATGAAGGAGATGCGTAATTCGGGATCTAGGAACTCTTCGAACAAATCGAAGCTCATTTAGTAAGGGATTTGTACTGTAGAGAATAGAACACCCCTCATACATACCTTGTAGGATGCCTTCTGCAATACCTTGTGGAATAAGCTATAGAGTACCCTTTAGAATACTTTATACAATTCCCCCATCTCCCCTATATATACCTTGTTGACTACCATCTGGAATACCCTGAATACCTTCTAGGAGACCCCCTATATATAT